TAGGTGGCCTTAGGGGAAAGGAGAAAGTTTGAGTCTTATTTTTATTCCTTGCTATGCCTTAAAAATGCTCCAGGGGATGCCTCCCACTGTGTGTCCTTGAATAGTAATTGCTATTGACTACTGAATGCGTCCTATTGGCTTACCACAATACTGAGTACTTTTTTTGATTAATAGTCAACATTATGCTATATATATACGTTAGGCAATTTTAATATACATTGTAAAAACGAGGTACTTGAGACCCTGGGAGGCTGAATAATTTGTCCCTGAACTTGCGCACTTCTTTTCATTGCTTTACTCTCTCTGCCAAGCACACTTGAGGAAAGGCATGAGGACGTTGATCAAGGTGTCTCTGCGGGTCCTGGCTTTGAAGCATCACCTTCGTTCCAAGCAGATAGCAATGCTAGGTAAAATACAAAGTCAGAAAATGTAAAAGTCACAGCTGAGTTCATGATTTATCATCTCAGTGGCCCACAAATCAAAAGAAAATGCAAGTGATGAGTTGTGAGCTATGCTGAGGCCTCTGGAGGTGGACAGAAGGGCCAGTATGATTTCTTCTAGGCGAATAAGAGATTGGAGTCATTCTACACTAGGTGGAGATCCAGAGCCAGCCTTGTAGTTTGAAGCCAGGACATAGAGAAGGACTCGTCTGCTTCTGAGCAAGGATGAGAACCCTGCTGCCCACTACTTAAGACTATAGCTTTTGATGCTAGGAAAGGCTTATATGGCAGGAAGAAAGCAGCACCTCCAGGAAACTGGGAATTGAACCAGGTCACTCACTGGCTCACTAATGTGACGGGTAATAATCCAGATGTCAGCATAATTTAATACTCGAATTACCAGTATGAAACTGATTATGTATGAGTGGTTCTGGGCACCAAATGAGCACAAAATCGTTTGTAAGAGAAGGATAATGAGAGATGGGGGTTGGAGGTGTATCAAAAAGCTAAATAAAACTAAATAAAAAATCTTCTGACTTCAAATGAACCTGCAAAGCAAAATTCCAAAGCACACGAGAAAGCCTTACACTAGGAAAGAGCCAGTGGATTTGACCATTGAGAATAAATTTTATTGGAAGAAATTAAAATATTGAAACAGCCTGGGAGAGCATATTTTGGATGCTCAAAATATAAACAAAGGATTGCCATCTGTAAAAAGGTAGAAAATCCTGAAATAAAACCAGTCAGTGATATAATTATTTATTTATTTACAAATATTTATTAAGATTATACTATGGTCCACACACTGTTACATGCCAGAGATGTAGGAATGAACCCAAGTAAATAAAAACTACATCCACATAGACAGTTTACATTCTCATAGGGAGTTTACCTTTTAGTGGTAGAAATGAAATAAGAATAGGCAGAAATCTTGGAAGTTAAAGACAGTCATTGAAATAAAATTCCCAGTAGAAAGTATAAACTCTAGACTTGACAATGACAGATTTTTTTTCATTTGGAAGCTATTATTTAGGAAATCACCTAAAATGCAGTCATGGGAAAATAAGATTTTAAAAGTGTGTGTGAGTGGAAAGAAAGAATGAGAGAGAAAGAAAACATCAGATTATGTGAAGAAATAATAGCTGAGATTATTTTAGAATTGAAGACAAGACTCCTCACGTTGAAAGGACACTCTGAGAACCTATCTGGATAAACAACAATAAAATCAATGCTTAAACACTTTGAAGTAAAACTTCAGAACATTGAGGGTAAAAAGAAAATCCTTACCCGTCGAAGAAAAAATACAGACTAGTCCCAAAGCAAAGGCAACTAGATTGAGAGCAGACACCAAGAACAGTGTTGAGGGGGAAAAATGTCCTGTAATTTGGATTCTAGAATTTAATGCCGACATATACCACTGACATGCTGATCAAACATAGTAATAGAATACCCAACTTTTAAAACTGAATATTTTGAGGAAAGAATGTGTGGATTTAAAAAAGAATTAAGAGGAACAGCAGCTTCTCAATGTCACCAAATTTAACTCTTGCTATAAAAAGTAATAACTAATTTCTACATAAAGAAAGTTAAGATGACACAAAAGAAAGAAATACAAACATGCAAGGAAAGAAGAAGAAATATAGCCAACAAATATATGCAAATTGAAAATAAAAATACCAAAGGTTGAAATTCTCATAACATCAATGTGAACAAGGATGTGGAAGAATGATCACAGCTGTTCTGTTCTTTGCAAAGTCTGACAGTCCACTTGGGCCAACTGTGTGGAGTGATCTTGTAAAGCATGGAAGTGGTAAATGCCAGCTTCTGTGTGGTATTTACCTTGGGGAGGCAGAGTTTGGAACAAGAGTGGGAGTGGAGAAGGGTGAGCAAGAAGGGGCTCATCTGTATCTGTAATGTTTCATTTCTTTAAAAGGCGAAGCAGAGGTGCCAGGTGCCAGGCAGGATCTGTTAAAGCATGGTGGTGCCTACCTGGATTTTCATAGTAGTAGCCTACACATGTACCTGTGTAATGGAAATGAAAGCCACTCAGAACTTTCAGAACATGAATGTTTATGCATAGCAACGAAGTTTATAAAATAGCCAGTCTTCTGGTAATGAGCCCAGTTAAAACCCAAAGTCTTTGTCAGGGTCTCTAAGTCCCTACCTACAGACTCTGCCCCTCTGACCTCTCTCAGGTGCCCATTCATTCTAACCTAACTCTAACTCCAGCCCCATTGCATGTTTTTGTACCTCACACAAGTCTGGCTCATTTCCTCTTCTCATACCAGCAGTCCTCTTAGATTATTGTTATGTCTTTCTGATACTGGGGACAATCTTGAAAATTTAAAAATGTCTCAGATACCTTTGATGTTGCTCTTGGTCCAGTGCTCTTAGTAGATACTGACTCCACCAGCTGATTGAAACTATGTTTTCTTGGCACTTCATGGTGTTCCACTTTAGAGTGGTTTATGCCACCATAACCCAGAGTGAGCAGTGAGCAGAACACTGCCTCGGGTGACTGGAGTTCTCATGCTCCTGGCAGCTTTATGTGCTCAGGAGCAACAGGTAGCTGTGGGATTTAGGCTGAGGGAATAATTTTCCATGGACTTGTGTTCTCTTTTCTACCCTATTGATTTTTCTAGCAAGCACACTTGAGGAAAGGCATGGGAACATCTGGTCAAGGTATCTCTATGGGTTCCAGCTTTGAGGCACCACCTTTGTACCAGGATGGTACATGGAAATCTTTAGGAGTTCAAAATGAATTATAATGAATTCATTAAATTTGTAATGAATAATAACCAACTTTGGATGCAGAACTGTTTTTAAATTTTTGTTTTTGTTTGAGTTTGTATTTTTTTTATTCTTATGTTAATCCCCATACATTACATCATTAGTTTTAGATGAAGTGTTCCATGATTCATTGTTTGTGCACAACACCCAGTGCTCCATGCAGAACGTGCCCTCCTCAATACCCATCACCAGGCCAACCCATCCTCCCACCCCCCTCCCCTCTAGAACCCTGTTTGTTTTTCAGAGTCCATCGTCTCTCATGGTTCGTCTACCCCTCCGATTTCCCCCGCTTCATTCTTCCCCTCCCGCTACCTTCTTCTTCTTCTTCTTCTTCTTTTTTTTCTTAACATATATTGTTGAGTTTGTATTTGAGAGATGAATAAGCTAGTTCTCAGTAAGAATGAGCCTAATTTTCATTTTGGAAGTGACTCTTCAAGTTTTCCTTATTTAAAGTGTAAAAATTGATTAAGCCATGCTACTTTATCTGAAAAAGACAAAAGCAAACATCATTATTAGGTACAGTGCTAATGGGAATAGCAGTGTACGTGTGTGCATAGAGCGGGATTCTGGGCAAAAAGTTCTGTCTCACTGATTTTGCCCACTACTACTCATGCATTTGATAATAATCTGATGGTACTTTGAGGTTCTAAATGATGCTCCGAAACACTAGTCTAATCAGTTTTATTTCAGTATCTTGTCTGACAATCATTTTGATATTACGGAACTTATTTTGGTACATTGACATTAATGTTCACATCTTGAAAATAATTTCACTTCATCAAAAATAGATAGTAGATTAAATATAACTTAAATGTATCCTGTCTTCATGGGTCATTTCCTTACAATTTCAGTTTAGTATTGAGCCAAGAGCTAAGCAAAACTCAGCAATATTCTTTGGATAATTGCATGTCACTAGGATTCAGCTTCATGTGTTAAAATACTTGGTGCCACACTGCATCCTGGTGACAAAAAGAACAAGTGTATCCTTGAAGAGGGTCTAACTTCCAGTCTGAGCACAGCTTAGTGGATGAAAGAATTCAACTCAGTACTCTGTTTAAAATTAGTTTTTTGAGTATTACTTTTATAATCTTGCACAATAAATGAAAACTAGATAATTCTCCAGTAGTCACAAGAAAATATATTTCTCCAACTTTTGTAATAATATAAATTATGGAAAATATTAATGAGCACCCACTCTGTGCTATGTAGTGTTCTAAAGGTTTTATTTGCATTAACTCATTTAATCTTCTTAGCAGGCTTGTGAAGTAGAAGCTAATGTTATCCCCAAATTACGAAAGAGGAAATTGAGGCATACACAAATTAAGTAATGTCTCTGAGGCCACACAGTGTATAATGGAGCTGGTGGTAGCTTTAGTCATTTTTAAAAAAAAATTTTAAAGATTTATTTGAGAGAGTGTGTGTGTGTGCAGGGGTGGGGGTTAGGGGCAGAGAGAGAGGGAGAGAGAGAGAGAATCTCAAGCAGACTCCCTGCTGAGTGCAGAGCTAGAAGCCGGGGCTCCATCTCACAACCCTGAGATCATGACCTGAGCTGAAATCGAGCCAGACACTCAGCTGACTGAGCCACCCAGTGCCTCATTAGTCATTTTTTCTTAATGGAAGACTATTGACTTTTTTTTGCACTCCCACCCATCCAAGTGTCCAACTTGTTTATTCATTTGTCTTCAAAAGGAAGTCAGCGAAACGTGCATGTCTTCATGCATTTTAATTTTTCTAACAATAAATGATCACTTATTCCTTGGATTCTTACAGGGCCTTCTACTTGGACAAGTCAAATTCACCACCAAACTCCACATCCAAAGCTGCCTATGTAGATAAGGTAAAAAGAGATGATTGCATTTATTGATGCTTTGCCCTTTACAGACCTCCCTTATTTACTTTTTCTGCTGCTGTACTCAGACAATGTGTAATTACAAATATCTGTAGTCTCCGATTCCATTACCTCCACAATGAAAATATTTTACACTCTTCATTAAACATTATAACAGCAGTGAATTGTATGCCATCTAAAAGCATTTCTTCCGACTAAACGTGTTGGACATTACGTTCATCACTTTTTTCTGCAGCTCATGAGGCCTCTCAATGCTTTGGATGAACTTTATCGGCTGGTAGCCTCGTTTATCAGATCCAAGCGCACGGCTGCCTGCGCAAACACAGCCTGCAGCGCCTCCGGGGTGGGGCTGCTGTCCGTGTCCTCGGAGCTGTGCAACCGGCTGGGAGCCTGCCACATCATCATGTGCAACAGCGGCGTGCACAGGTATGTGGCCTGCCCTGCCCGCCTCTCTTGTGCCCACTTTCATCTGGAGGTTCTTCCTTACATTGTGGTTACAGGAAATGGTAACCAGAAGCATTCAGAGGACTCGAATGTATTCGGAATAAGCTTTGGGGAATCAGATCATGGTGACACGGTGTTTCCTGGCTTTAGTTTTATGTTCGGTGGCTATTTGTTCATACAAATGAATGCCATCCCACATTTAAATCACTGTAGCTTATCTGCCCAGAATCTTATCACCCTTCCATTTATATTACAAGATTTGTACTTTAGGCACAAACTTGTACATCGATTTTATTCACTGTAGGAACTTGTCTGGTAGGAGCTGTCAAGGAGCTAAACAAAACTTTTTTCACTGCACTTGGTGGACATTCCACCTTCGGTGGTTTGGGTTTCTATATCCATTGGTTGTGAGGTAGGCGCTGCCTTGGGGTTGCTACTGTCTTTCTACTTTTGGCAAAATTGAGTCCAGGAGCCCACACAATATACGTTCTTGAAAATGGAAGGGGAAATCTTAGATGGGTCCAGTGCAGGTGGTTTGTCTTAGGCAGTTGTGCTCAGTCTGGGACACCCAAGGTAGGCTTGTGAACTCATACGGTTGCATCAGCTGCAAAATGGGGGTGGAGGACCCCATGTCAAGTCCTTTCCCATAACCACATGCTCCTCCTCTGCCACCTCACCATTTTCACAAGGAAGTGAAACCATGTAATAAAAATAATAAAACAGAATTTGGTCCTCATTGTGATCTGAGTAGGCAAATAGTGTCCTGTCACCCATCATAGTCTCTTCTTGGAACTGGGCCAGTTAGATTTTGCGGATGGTGGTATTATTTAGTCAAGATTTACTTGGTACTTGACCTATGCAAAGGACGACAGTTTGACTGTTGGCCGTGTAACATCATAAAGCAGTGGTGCTCATGTTAGAGGCATAAATACAGCATGACAGCATGAACAACAGGTAACAAAAAATAAGAAGACATAATGAGACAACAGAATAAGAACAAACAGACCTCCACTGCAAGAAAATGTAAATGATCTCAGAAAGTTACAGCCAAAAACCAAGATTCAGAAGGAAAACAGATCTCTGAGATGGGTAGACCTTTCCCTAAAGAAGGTGATGTTTGAACTGGATTTTGATGAGTCAGGGTGAAGAGGTAAAAAGTGGGAGAAAAATGATCCAAGGCAGCAGGTTCTCATCTGTAAAATTCCATTTCAATTTGGTATGCCCGAATTCTAGTTTTCAAGTCCTACACAGTGTGTTCTTGCTTACGAAGTATGGCAAGACCTTATTTCTCTGAAAGGAGCATTATGTTTTGTGGTTGACAAAATATACAAAATTTTCTCCTTTATTTTAATGGCTGTGTACTCTGTGCTCTATTGCAAGCTGTAATAAGCTTAATTGAAAATATCTGCAACCAAATGAATAAAATATTATTTCATAATTTGTTTACTAGCAGAGAAGTGATCTCTCCCTTCTGATCAACTCATGTTCACTCCTTCTGTTCCCACTTATTCATTCACTCATTTATGTATTCATTATTCATTCACTCCGTAAATATGCATTGAGCACCAATTATGTGCCAGCCCTGCTCTAGTTGCTGGAGATACAGCATTGAAAAATTAAAGTCCCTCTTCTCAAATAGTGTGCATCGTATTGGGGGTAACAGATGATAGTGTAAACAAATACATATGTAATGTGGTAGATGGAATAAATAGAAAAAAGAACAGAAGTCAGGGGGGTCGAAGGTGACAGGATGGGAAGAAGGGGTAGCACCATCCAGCAAGGGATTTCATCAGAGACTTGTATGAAATGAAGGAGTGATTTATGCAAATATCTCAGAGAAAGAGCATTCGATCCTAGGGAGCAGCAGTGCAAATGTGGGAGCTCACGTGGGAGCTCAAGGAACTGCATCGAGGCCATTGTGGCCTCACCAAGTGTCATTTCCTTGATTATTGGTGTTCTTATCTTACCCCGGTGCAAGATCATAGTTGTCTGAGGACTGGATACGCTGTAATCACAAAGGGGACACTTCCGGACTTTGAAACTAAAAGCATACCCTCTTACCTCCACATTAATTTACTGGAAGTTAATGCAGTTAAATCTGCATTTAATCCTAGAACCACGACCAGGTTGTCTCAATTAGTCTCTCTGCTAGCCCATGAGCAATTTTAGAATCTGACTAATGTTACCTGGGAGAAATAGATTGATGTCTCGCAGCTGTTTTATAATTACCATATTCGTTGAATGGTGTGTTAGGACTGCAAGTAACATTGAAATTTCAAAGTAGTTTGACTTTTTCCATTTCTACTATTTAAAATAAATGTAGCTTTAGTTAGTTCATTTCAGAGACATTTACTGAGGTATAGGCACAAATACTCCATGGCAAATGCTGAATTTAAAGTTAATACTATTTGAAAATGGTACAGATTTATTTTTCTATTACGCAGAATAAAACGGGAGTTTAACATTATCTTTTAATCTCTCAGTGAAGGCTATGTTTACATTTTTCATGACAATAAAATGTGCTAATTTATATTGGATTTAGAAATCTTACATAAAGACTGTTCTTAAAATAATTCTTCGTAATTATAATTCAGACAGCTAGAGAGAAACCCAAGTAGATCCACACCTGGACTCAACATTAAACATGGAGGCTTACCTTCAGGTTCTGACAAAGGGGAGAAGTTCACAATGTGAATCAGAATAAATATTGCACAAACTATTTTTACCATTTACTTTTAAAATCAAGATGAGAAATGGTCAGTAATATGGGATCCACATTAGTCAGTTTCCTGCCTTTTCTGATTTTATTTGCAAAATAACAAGAGAATATAAAATATTTTTAGAGTATTGACTGATTCTGCATATGTTTGATATTAAAGAGAAGAATGTGGTTTTTCAGAATGAAAAGGCAGATTTAATTAGCATTAATGTCTAGATGTTTTAATGCCAACCTGAATTAGATGGCAGAGCTACATACAACAGTGAATGCGAGATTAGCAGGAATAGAATTCAGGGTGAATTATTAAAATCTTCTCATAACATTTAGCCTGACTTTGTTTTTATTAAATTCTTTTCCCTAGGGAGATCCTTTGTGTGTATTACAATTCTGCTGATGAATTTCCCTGCCCACACTCTCTTAACTATTCACTTATGTCAGTTATCTTCATTGCTATTGGATGGTGCAAGAATAGGACTGTCTCTTCTTAAAAACAGGTTTTTGCCTTTTAAACAATATAAACTTGATCTTAGAGGTAGTTTAACAAATGGAACGTTTTATAATTTCCTATCCTGACATGCCTTCTTTCATGTTCATTTTGTGTCATCTCTTGCAACTTCCATCAAACAACGCACAATTGAACATAGTTTTATTAGTAAATATAGTTCAGCAATCTGCTTTATGCTCATAACAACTCTATCTTTATTTTCCAGATGTACACAAAGACTTTCTCATTATCACTTTTATTTGCTACAGAGTTAATCCAACCGGTTGCTATGCCATAGTTTACTAAATGATCACTTCAGTGGTTTATCTTCCTGGTCCATCGCCCATAATGCCTGCAGAGAGGCTGGTTTCATTATGTGGCTGTTCAGATTTCAATTTTATTTTCCATTAAGTTAAAAGAAAAACAAAAGTATCCTCCAGGTAGAATTACTGTGTCAAGGAATTTAAACCTCTGTGGTCAATAATATATATTGTTCAGGTTCTCCAAAGGCTCCTCCTCACATACAACACAACCAGAAGGTTACATAGTTGTGTAGCACTTTCATCTTTTCTTGGTCTGCAGAGGCTATTTGAATCCATTTATCTATTGTGCTTCTCTCCTAGATGTACAATGATATGTCACTAGTGCTTTAGTTTATACTTCTTTGATAAACAAATACAAATATCGGAATTGAATAGTTTTTTTGCATTTCCTTTTCGACAAAGATTTATGCCATAGACTCTCTATATACCTGCTTTATAGACAGAATTGGTTCTTGCCAAATTGAACATTTTTAAAGTAGTGAATCGGCCCGTGGCTTTTCAAGTTCTCTCTTGTACTCCTGCCAGCTATTTGTTGCAGGCAATCCAAAAGCATACAAACAGGGATTCTAAATTTCCGTTTTATTTCAGACTGCAGCATCCTTCCATTCAATGTGGTATTTCATTTTGTTGTAGTTCTTTATTCCCACCCCAGCTTAATAGCCAACTGTTTTTCTTTAACCAGTATAAATCAGTATACTGCAAATGTTATAAAACCTGAATCATGAGTCTTTCTGTGTCCAAAAACAAAGATGTCATTTTCTTCCCACTACATTAGCTTCTGCTTCCTTCGCCAGTAGGAACAAGTGGGTGGAATTTTCCAGAGGCTACCTGAAAGGATATGTGAAAGAAATTTCTAGTGAGGGCAGTAAATCTGGGATCACAGGTTTTGCCTCTAAGGACTTGTTCCAAAGAGTTTTTGTCCACATACTCTCAGTATCTTTTAATAATTGGTTTTCAGCGATGTCAGAACCTTGGTACGGCCTCACAGGAAGGTGCGTGATGCACACACAGGCCTCGTGTCTTAACTCGCCCTGTGATGGCTTTGAACCCAAACCTTGGAGATCTACACACATAAATTACGTTTCATCTTCATGCTTTGTTGTGAGGATAAAATCTCTTCCAGGAAACAATGGCCTGAGTTTATAAGTAACATACCTCCCGTTCACTCCTCCAGTGGGGGTTGTGAGCAGTAGCCAGGCAGGGTTCACTGAATCCGGGATTCACCAGCACCTAGCATTAGTCGGTGTCTTGTCTTCTGATGAGAACCCTGCCCAGGTGTGAGAAGGAAACAGTCTGTGGCAAGGCCTACCTGTTCTCATTATTTAAAAACATATTGATAAACATCAAACTAGCTACCATTGCTGTATTATGGTGTCAGACTTCTTTTTTTTTAATACATTGTAGAAATTAGTTTTAACATATATAAAGTTTTAGGAACTCAAAGGCCGCATATATG